AATTATTCGTTAGTAGTAATAATAAGAAGAATAGTAGCAACACTAATAATGATAATCATAATACTACGGTTATGTATATGCACAGACAGATAGACAGACAGACAGACAGACAGACAGACAGACAGAGACAGCCAGACAAAAACAGACAGACAGACCCAGACAGACCCAGACAGACACAGACAGACACAGACAGACAGAGACAGACAGACAGACAGACAGAGACAGACAGACGCGCAGATAGACGCAAAGACAGACGCACACACAGACACACATACACACACGCACAGACAGACGCACAGACAGACCGACAGATAGACACACAGACTAACGCACAGACAAGCGCACAGACAGACACACAATCAGACGCACAGACAGACTCACAAATAGACGCACAAACAGACGCACAGGCGGACACACAAACAGACCCACAGACGTACACAGAGACACACACAAAGACACGTGCATTTCGGCTTGTTCGGAATCGGGAATTGCAAAAATTCCGGGATTTTCGGATTCGTAAAAAATACCAGGAATTTCAGATACAGAAGGGCAAAAATTCCGGGAGATTTTCTGGAATCCCCGTTCTTGCGTCCATAAACGCCACAATGCCGGCAAAAAGAAACAAAACATCCGTGCCCACACAAACAAAACACAACCGGGCCCGTAACCTTTTCTTGGGGTGTATATATATATACACACATACATATAAAAAATGAAAATCTTACAATATATTCATCTATATTAAGAACCATTCAAAATATAATAATTAAATCTAATCAAATTTATATATACATATATAGTAGATATTTAAACATAAATAAATTGCAAATCATATTTTCTACTTCCCTAATATTTCAAGACTCTATTAAGTTGTTGCAAAATTAATTAATTTAATTCCACAAATTACAAATATATATCTCCAATTCATAGTTTATGTATGTCCTATATTATCTTAAAGAATCTATAATTTTATTTCTAATCATACAATTACTAAATAAATAAAATCATAGAATGCATCTACAAATTTAACAAAATTTATCAAAGAGAATATTTTATTCGATAATTATATAATTCAGAATTCATATTCTTTCTAAATATATATATATATATTTGTAGAAGAATCAATTCTCAATTAGATTTAATTTTCTCTTATTTTATCTGTTACATAAAATAAAAGTACATATATTCATTTCTAATACATACTAGAAATTTTGAAATATACAAAATAAATTTAATATTATTCTCTTCATAAAATGCATTCGAAAATAATATATGATTATCTCCTTGTATTTCTACATAGAATTTAAAAATGTATTTATCATTATTTCGAAAATTGTTCTCACTATGAAATATTTACTTACCTCTTTATCGAACCAATTGGGGCATGATCTCTTCCCAACCTCGGATTGATTTTTTGTCGGTATCCCTCTGTTCATACACAATTACCAATCTTCCGCTGTTGTTTTTATTCATGATGAGGTGAATTCTGTTTATGCTTATGTCCGTCCAGAAGTTCGAAACCCAAACCGCAAGCTGAAATGCAAACAAGTTGCTGCCGCCGAGCGGAAACCGCACAAAGGGCAATTTTGCCTCCGAGCATGTCCAAAGTTTGTGCTGCCCATCTCAAATCTGCCAAATCTCCCATCCAGACCCTCTGTCTATAAGGACCTCAGACACCACAGCTCTGGGGTCGTGACGGCAGAGAGCTTGTCCATGAACTTCTGATTTAGCGAAGGCTCCTTCAAATGCGCGCTGTTCGGGAATCGGCAAGCGACGCTGCAGAAAGCAATGCAGCTAGTGACGATGTGACAATGTTTCGGAACCTCCGGTGGCCCCAGAACAGTTAGCTACTGTAGGTCGTTGTGCATCTGTAGCAAAACCACTACAGTCCGATGTTACAACTTGGGACAGGTGCGGTAGGTTCGGGCTTGGCAGTGGCCCTTGGCTGGCTGAACCGTCAACCCGAGCGCCTCCTTCTCGTGGCCCTGGGTGAAATCATCTACCAAGATGGTCTCGGGTGTAAGATGGCAGACCTTCCGAATCATCTCGGCTGAGGGTCACAAACCGCCGACTGCTGCCGTGGTGCTCTCTAACTTAACCCCTCGCGCCAAGCTTTACCGTTCGCTCAAGGTGCAGGACGTAGCCGAACTTACGGTAAGACTTCAAACCATTCCTGCCGGAATAGGGGCTTTTCAGGTTCTAGGTTTTCCTGTCTTACTTTTTTGGGCGATGGGGTCTCGGTGCGTAGGAGGCTAGGAGGTCCAAGGTTCCCAATGCACACGCATGGGTACACGCTCTTCTAGGCCATGCGGAACATCCAACTGCTTTCGATGCGCAGCCATAGGATGCTCTGTCGGCACGCAGTCGCCGTGAATCTTGAGTCATTGGAGCCATATATACGTATTTAGACCAGCCTTTGTACAGCATATCCTGGCCTTGATTGCCACCTTAACCTGTGCTCCGACATCTTCGAGACCTGAGTCCTTGTCCCATGGCAGACTTGCAACGGGGTGTGTGGTCGCAAGGCGCTCGGCACATCCACTGACTTTCTGCCAAACGAACAAGGAATCATTTTGAGCCCGGATAGTGGCCTTATCCAGATATATCCACATCCATCCTTTGAGTCTCCCATCGTGCAAAGCGACTTCTATGAGCAGCCTGGCAATGTAAGAATGCTTATTTCGAATTGCCTAGAAGAGTGACGTCTCGTGCAATTGGTCCGAGAATTGAACTTCAAAGACCTCAAGGCAATGGGTTGGAAGGAATCCCGCCATGCGACATTGCCTGTGAAAAGCAGCAAAACACGAACACAATGGAGAAAAAACACTGAACCAAGCCGCTGAACATCATAATATCCGTCAAAACGCGACTCCCAAGGAATGTTGTTTTGATCACTACTGGAGTTTGCATTCCGGCGACTATTACTAGTGGTCTTCACTCCTTCTGCTCGAACGGAGCAGAAACTGGTGCATCTACAGACATAGGTACTGTTGCCGGGTACTCGATGTTATGGCGGTGGGCTGGCGAACAACACAAGTCCCATCTCACCCCCAAAATAGTATAGGTAACTATTAATTATTAAGGCCCCTAGATTACTTTCGCCCCCTGGCCTTGGACTGGGGCCGATCCACGACGATCAACTCGTCGTACTCGAAGTCATTCAGCTCAAGCCACGTCTGCGTGACGTTGAAGGGGTCCTGCTGGCCCGTGGAGAATCTCATGGATTGGATCTACCTTTCCTGTCCATCACCAGAACCCGCAACCTTCCTCGACCCTTGAGGCGCAGGGTTCTATGGTAGTACCAGGGTGCATTTGGTTCCTCGTAGGACCCACGGGCAGTGAGAAAGCGGATGAAGTACTGCTCTCGCAGCCTCGCAGAGAAATGCCCTAAATCAGTGATTCGGGCGCCATGAGTGAAAAATGGCATGGCTTCCTCGCTTCCTCTTGAGCAACGCCCGACTGCCTGCCTTCGCAGCGCATCAGCTGCGCCCGGAACTGGGACATCTTTCATGACCTAAACCATCGGCAAGCTGGCATTCTCGGACGAGTGCTTGATGGTGCTTGAGGGCTCCGATAATCGCACCACAGAAACTCCAACTGTCGCTTTGAGTCTGGCCTCGCTGGCTTTGTAGGCGTTTTTGTCTCCCCTCCACCGCCTGACGAGCCAGACACGCAGGCGAGCAGCCCGTTCACGCAAACAACCGGTGCAGAGTCTTGCGAGCAAGGACACGATGATTGACTGCAAAAGGGGATGTCCGAGTGCATGAACTCTCGCGCCAGGAGCGAAGAGTCCTTGAAAACTTTCACCATGCAACGGAAACCTCCGAGCATGCCGTTCCATGCCATTACCATGAAACCAGCACAGACGCACCTAGCAGTCCGAGCCCTGAGAAGCATCCCTATTGGGCTCCCAGGACCACCCCGTCAGTCCAAAAGCGCACCACGCTGTGGCGGGAGGACGAGTGACACCCGAGAACATACATAGCACTGCGGTGGAAGCGGTAGTCCCACACCAAAAAAACCAACAGGTACGTACGCCGCTGCGGCCGGTGTAACGGGGAGGAGAAAGTGCGCCCCAAAATCCGTGCAGTATCGTGCGGCACTGCGGCGGGACTGTGGAAGTGCAACTTCGATTTTGGCCTCACTGCCTAAAGGGCGGAATTCGAAGACCACGTCAAGGAGTCCACAGGCGAACAGCGTGGCCCTGCTAAGACTTTAGCGACTTCGAGCGATACGAAGGCAAAAACGATCACGGGGCTTTGACGGAGCAAGATTCCCGCGCACCAAAAGAACACTCACGGGACCGTGGCGGGAGCACGATTCACAGATGGCAAGTGACATCATCTGCCAGCCGGCCACGCCCTTCGCGGTCACACAGACCACCTCCTGCTTACCCCTACTGTTACTACCACCCTGCTTCGGGAATTTAGCAAGTCTCCAGAGTTGAGGTTTTGCTATAAATTCTCTTCTGGTACGCTCCAGATGGCAGGCCAACGCATGGCAGCAATAGCCGGCCTGACACGGTCCATGGAGAGAGACACGACCTTGGTGGTACTTCAAAGTCTAGCAAACCGCTCGCAAGATGCTGGCAACCCATAGGCCATAGGACGATGTGCAGCGGCGCAGTGCTGCAGCACTGCGACATGCTGCGAAGTAGCTCTACAGTAGTTCAGGGGCCTGGCATTGTCAATGTCCACAAAAAGGTGTCTGCGTTCACGTCGATACCTGGTGATTGGTCAAGGGACACACATACACTAGTCTCTACTTCAGGAATTCATGAGCAGAGGGAATGACAGTCCACTGCTAAAAACTAACACTCCCTCCACGTCAGATGCAGCTTGGTGCAAGCACCGACGATTGTTAGGCTGCGGCCTGTCGATCACTGCTAACACCATAAACTCTGTCCTGAGTGAGGCCATGCTGTGAAGCATCACCGGTCAAGCCCACAAGCCGCAACTGTGGTTGCTCATGCGCCGTATGAAATCCTGCCTTTCGAAACCCACACCCATCGACCAGAAGCATGGCAACCGCCAGCTCAACCCAAGCGCTGCACCATTGCCGCCGCACCTCCAAATACCTGCCGTGCAGCGGGCACTCTGTGAGGCCGCCGGCGAGCTGTTGAGAGCCAGGAATCACTATAATTTCAGTTCACGTGCTTTAGATACCAACTTCGTGCTCCAAATCCGATTAGCATCAGCTCTCAAGCTAACTTTCCAGAAGCACAAACAGGTCGGAGGGTGCGCTTTCCGGTAGCCTGCGAGTTGAGTATTTTGGCAGGTGCTCCCGGGCGAGATTTTTTGTGCACGGAGCTTGCTCTCAAGAACTACATGCAGCTCGTTCGAAGGACTGTTCTGTCACTATCCCAGTAAAGCAGCAGAAGCAACGTTAAGTGTAGCAAATCAGGTCCTGACTGGGATACTTACTTAACAGACTTAACACATCCAGCCTTTCAAAGTGCAACTTGGAAGGGTCACAATGATTAGTATTGTTACTATTTACTACTATTGATACCATTGTCAATGTTACTAGTGCTATGGATAGTGTTACTATTGATTTTGTTGCCAGGATATCCATCATTAACACATCAACTTATTATCTCGGTCCCTGCCTGAGGTGTGCTTGAACTCCGCGTAGGTCTTGTGCCAAGACAAAGGCGCCGGTCTCAGCCAAGCCGGGCCGAGTCTCTGCTAAGTCTCTTTGCGATAGCAGCTGTAAGTCTCCTTGCAAAAAGGTCAAACGTAGGTTAATCGATTTATTTAGTAAACGTCAGGCCGGGCAAGATGACGCTTGTCTTGGTCATCTTCGTCAGGCGGGGGGCGGGCAAGATGACGCGTCATCTTGATCATCTTGAAGGGGCAAGAGTGCACGTCACCAAGGTCGGGGCGGGGGGGGTAATCTTGGTCAGCACGTGCTGCACTTGGTAACCCAAACCCTAAACCCCTAAACCCCGATAGCCCTATAAACCCTGAACCGGTGCGCATGCCGGGCGCGCGTAACCCTAAACCCTTATCCCTGGAAATCCTAAACCCATAAGCCCTACAACCCTAAAATCCTTCGGCCCTGAACCCTAAACCCAAAACCCCAACCGATGCGCGTGCCCGCCCCTAAACCCTACCCTACCCTGAACGCAGGATTGCAAGTGGTGCAAGATGACCAAGATTACAAAGATGACGCCTCCCCTCTCACCCCAATAGCAACATTACCAAGATGACCAAGACAAACAAGCTGGCACGTCATCTTACCCCACCTCTGCGCGAGAAAGCAGACCAAGATGACGGTCATCTTGCCGCCACACCCCACCAAGAGACCAAAATGACCAAGATTCCCCAGATGACCAAGTACATTAACGGTTCTCGAATCCCGGCACAATATGATAATAGCAGGTGGTAGTAGTAGTAGTAGTAGTAGTAGTACTAGTAGTAGTAGTAGTACTACTAGTAGTAGTAGTACTACTAGTAGTAGTAGTAGTAGTAGTAGCAGTAGTAGCAGTAGTAGTAGTAGTAGTAGTA